AAAGAAGTTCTATATCTAAAAGAAACTATAGGCGAAAAACGTAGTCAAGTTTTGAAATTTTTGCTAAAATACTGTCACTGATAGTTACAAAGGGCAGAGACGGTTTTGAGGCTCGGACTTTATGAGTAACTAGTCTATAGTCTATACACGTTGTGCCGATGTTATAAAACAACTTGTCTTCTCTCTATTCGAACATTGGCTTCCTGGTGCTTCTCAATGACTCTTAGAATCTTGATTGAAGTAAGAGTTTTGGCTCGATTTGATTCTCGGCTGCAATGGCTTCATTTGGGTCGGGGAAGACGTCCAAGTCAGAAATCCTATGATTGTGACCCAGAACACAAGAAAAGAGCTAAGCCATATTCCACTCGAGACACGACAAAGCATTAGCAGAATTGGAAATGCGATACAAGTCTTGTCTAATCTAGGCTTCACCATAACTCTAGAAGTGATCATGGAAACTGTTAACTTAAGCAACACGGAGAATATCGACATACACGACATGCGTGGATCAGAGTTTTACGTTGTGGTCTCAGAGAACGAAGCTGAAAGAAGACTGCATTGAGGAAAAAGTGAAAGCCCACCATCAAAAGTTTTGGTGATGTTTTGTATTAGATCATGTAGTCTTGCTTGTTTTGACTCTTAAGCTTTTCTCGAGTGAATGACCCGGTTAAGAACCCCAAGTCATCAATGTTCCGTGAATCTCTGTTTGACTTTGACCGGAACAAAGTAACCAATTTTTGAAACAAAATGCAAAAGACCTTATAAATATCGTGTGTAAAATAAAAATTTAATTATCAATTTCACGTGACATCGACCTCGATTTATGAGAAAACATTGGGAGGGAAACCATTCGTCTAATTATTAACGAATTGAAGTGTGATGTGGATTTGATTTTAAGTTTGTATGTATTAGTTGACCCTTTGATAGAATTGTCAAATATGCCATGTTTGAACTTTAAAGAGAATCCAGGTCTACTTGTCTGATAGTTATGTGAAGGGTAACGAACTTATGGTTCAAAATGAATCGGTAATTAATGGATATATTGATTAATGTCATTTATATATTAGCGTTTGATCTCTGAAAAAAAAAAAGAAATATTAGCGTTTGATCTCTGAAAAAAAAAAAGAAATATTAGCGTTTGATCTCTCATGTTTTAGAATTAT